CTCTCAGACTGAAGAAGTCTCTTGGAAGAGAGACGAAACGTTTCATTAAAGAAGAACCCGTCCAGAGGACCTATACAATTTTTTTTCCTTTTGACTCTGTGCTCTGGTGCACAGGGGGCTCAGCTGACCCCTCCCCTCCTGTTTTAGTGTCGGAGGGAGGAGTGCACTCTCACGCGGTCTCGTACTCATTTAGCATGAGAGCTCGTAGCAATAACAAACTAAAGAAACGTTGATGGGATTCTGACAAATGGAGATGGAATTGGTTTCAAAGCAGAATGCGACAGCTGCAGTGTCGGAGCACTTGCAGGGCCTGAAATTCGCTGCGGGGATTGGGCATATTATGATTGATTCCCGCAAATCTAATTTTTATAATGTGTGAAGTTCCCACATAGAATAAATTCTAGCAAACACATAACAAAACACCAAATAACCACGGCCGAAGCATCCAAACCAATAAGTCAGGTGATGGGGCACACGACCCTCTATGAACAATAGCACTAATCGTTAACTAAACGTTAAACTAATTGTTAGTCGATGACCCTCTTTTGCATATGACTYACCTGTTTGTCCACCATGTGGAGGCAGTGCTTATAAGGCTGAGTTCACCTGAAACTCATCAGACTGAAGAAGTCTCTTGGAGGAGAGACGAAACGTTTCACTAAAGAAGAACTCATCCAGAGGACCTACTGATTTTTCTTAGATTTTTTCTACCTGGATTACTGAGATGCATCAGGACAAATATGGGAGTTAGCATCAGACTATTTTTAGATGACAACCCGTACGGTATAAACCTGACCACCTGGTTGGTGTCCTCCCCCATACCTCAGAGTGAGGCAGCGACAGACACGCGACAGACTCATCAAGATCTTTGAGACTTTACCTGGAGATCTCAAAAATAACAGGAAACTTAAACGCACCATCTGTGTTTTAACAAAACACCCCAAAACAGTGGCTGTCCCAACAACTCATGAGGAAAACTCTGAACTGATTTCCTCCCCCACAGTGCTCTGCTTGTCTCCTCACTGCCCCACCCCCAAACACACACACACACGTTTGTTCTTCTATGTTCATGGGGACTTTGCTTTGCCTTTTATTCATTTACCAGTATTTTCTATTACCTGTTTGACCCTAAACTTTACTTAGGATGTGAACTGTTTTATGTCCCGATAAAAAACAGTGGGTCCTCACAAGCTGTGTAGTTCACTCCATCTCTAAAGCGATGCTGCTCTTTAATATTGTTTATTTATTGTTTCAGTTGTGTGTGGTGTTTAATTTACATTTTGTTGTTCTTTGTTTTTTTATACTTGTGCATTTGTTGTTAGAGAAACTGAGTCCATTTTGTTAAACATTCTTTAAAAATTAAAGTTTATTGATCTTTGAGAGGATGTAATTACTTTATTACGCTTTTATCATTATTAGTTTTAAAATGTTCACCAGACAATATTGTTGTTTATCGCAATCATTTCTGAGACAATTAATCGCCCAGCAAAATTTGTAATTGTGACCGGCCTACACGAGGCTACCAGCGTCAAGCAAACAAATCAAAGTCTTACCACTTTTTTAACCTGTATGTGAGAAGATGTAAAAGGGACTGAGCTACCGTGTCACGTGACTACACAGGCTCACCGGTGCCAACGGGGGTCTCACCTGACCATGTTGGCATAAGATACTCGACCTGTGCATGCGCAAGGATGATCATTCAGTGCTTTAAACACCACCTGTGGTGGTCAGTAGGGATGAAATAGAACTGGAAGTTCGCTCTAAAAATGAAATGTTGGATTTACTTAACCATGTTATGTTACCTGGTTCCACTTAACTGAGTTGAGTAAATTCAAAGCAATAT